AACATTTCTTAAAAGTTTACGTTTTTTTGTTTGTTTACTATTACAGCCTGTGTTAGTGTACATGTCTAAAGTGGATGGAAAGTTCAACTTCAGTCCTATTAGTGTCAACTTCTTGACAGAAATCGCAAAAATTATTTTTGCAATTGTCATGCTTTTGATCCAGGTACGTTGCTGAATTGATTTAAGTTTCTTTCGAAATTTCGGTTCTGTTTGTGGGTCATTTAAATTTCTTTCTTGCATCTAGAACTAGTTGATAGATGTATTTTCTGCCCTCGAACATGAAACCAGTTCCTGAGATTGTTGAAGAGGGATAATATCATATTACTTTTCTGTTATGTATCTATATGGTGGGTGTGTTGAGGTTGATTAACTAGTGTGAATGAGATGGGATTCACATTCATTTTTTGTGTGCATATAGGCAGTTTCTTGCTTGTACGTAGGAAAAGTGGTCGCCTTTTTAATACTCAATTTTGTGTGGTAATATTGTAGGCCAGGCACCAGAAAGTTGGAGAGAAACCTCTACTATCTGTTTCCACGTTTGTCCAGGTAACTCTTCTTGGCAACTAAGAGATTTGGAAGTACTGACGTCTCTCAATGTCTGATAAGCTTTGTGTATGTTATACATCTGGATTACAAAGCTTTATTGATTGAAATGTAGACGTTATGTCACCACTAGATCGATCTAATACTATTTTTTTTTGTTCTTAAAGTACTTCCTGCTATTAAACTTGAAACTTCTGAGTGCATTTTTTTCATTATTTATAGTACAAGCTGTAGTAACAGACTAACAGGAGCCTTTATTTTACAGGCAGCTCGGAACAATGTGCTTCTCGCTGTTCCAGCAGGATTGTATGCCATTAATAACTATCTTAAGTTCACAATGCAGGTATATGTGCTTCTATGCCGTTAATAATTATCTTAAGTTCACTATTTGGTTCTACCTTTCTATCTTTCTTCTGTTTTAGTGTTTACACAGCAATTCACTTTTCTGTTATTGCCAGCTATATTTCAATCCTGCTACTGTGAAGATGCTCAGCAATCTAAAGGTTCTGGTGATTGCTGTACTACTGAAGATGATAATGAAGCGACGGTTTTCCATCATACAGGTCAGGTTCAATTGTTCTTGGTTACTGTATTTGTGGTTTTTTGGTATCAGACATTATTATCGATGTTTCTGTTTGACCTTCCTTAACTCCTACTCGTAACGGGATTAAATAGGTTTGAGACTTTTTTTTGTTGTAGTGGGAAGCACTTGCTCTGTTGCTTATTGGGATTAGTGTAAATCAGCTGCGTTCTCTTCCCGAAGGTGCTACTACTATGGCTGTCCCAATTGCTACGGGTGCATACATCTGTACCTTTATCTTTGTAAGTTACATTTTCTGCTTATTATTCTTGCTCTACTTAGAAATTTAGTATGGAAGTGATTCTCACATAATTTGTTGCGCTTTCACATAAATGTTCACCCATTGTTGCACCAAAGAAAAGTTGTAATTCGTGTTAGAGGCTTATGCAAAATTTCATTTTGCAGGTTACTGTCCCATCTTTAGCATCTGTCTACAACGAGTATGCTCTAAAGAGCCAGTATGACACAAGCATTTATCTTCAGGTTAGCTAATCCGGATACATAGTTTTTTTTCATATAGCATCAGAGAAATGAGAGCCTTGTAGTAACATTGGGAGGCTTGTAATGACCGTTGATTTCCACGGTGCAGAACTTATTTCTCTATGGTTATGGTGCGATATTCAACTTCCTCGGAATACTAGGAACTGTTATATATAAAGGTATGGGTATTTTATCATGGCAGAGACGAAATATGATAAATGTTAAGCAACTTGAATATACCATAAAAGCTTCTTAAAATCCTGTTGCTAACAGTTTTGCCACTGTGTCGACAGGTCCTGGCAGTTTTGACATCCTACAAGGACATTCTAGGGCTACCGTGTTTCTGATACTGAACAACGCAGCACAAGGGATTCTATCCTCCTTTTTCTTCAAATATGCAGGTAAAATAACATTTGAGTTTCCTGGTAATTGTAAGAGATTTGGAAATTTTGTATACACATGAGCAAAAAGCCTTGCAGTAAAATTGCTTTCATGGATACAGTTGTCTTGATTTTTGAATGTTCTCAGATACAATCTTGAAGAAATATTCGTCCACGGTTGCCACAATTTTTACTGGCATAGCATCTGCAGCACTCTTTGGACATGTATTAACCATGAATTTTCTTCTGGGGATTTCGATAGTTTTCATTTCAATGCACCAGGTAAATTTGCATACAAACTACTTCCGGGTGTATCGATTAACATACACCAAGGAACCTCTTTTTTCGTCTCTAATGTTTTTTATTTATTTCTATTTTACGCAGTTCTTTTCACCCCTTGCAAAAGCCAGAGATGAGCAACAGAACGGGACCGTAGAATTAGTTAACACTAAGGATGATCATAGGTGTGTCTTCATGGATCATTATTCTTTCTCTAATCACATGTCATCGTTCTATAAACTCTTTACATGGATTTGCTCTGTTCATTTCTTCTCGTCTTTAATTTCTTTTCGAGAAACCTTAAGTGTGAGACTCAGTTGCCCGTGTATGAATCATATAACCTTTTTTATTCCTCTGTTATTTCCTTCAGGGCTAAAGACTCATTCATTAACATGGCAGCAGGAGCAAATGAAGAGGTGAAGAACACAAATTCACACATTCCTATCTCTTCAGTAAAATCCAGTTCTTGTAATATCCCGACTTAAGCTGATCATATTTTGTGTTTCTTATCTGTTTATGCAGGCTACTCACCGTGTTGTATCAGATGAGAGAGAGCCGCTTCTTCCCCGATAAATACTTTCTAATCGTAAGTAACAAAATCTACTCCAACTTCATCATACTATCAAATCTCGATAAATATTCACAAACCCCCCGATTATACTTGTTGTTGCAGGATTTTGTTTCGAAGAATTCTTTTGGCCAAAGATTATTTTAGACACCATGGGGGGAATTCAAATTCAAACCGCATACACCCAGTTTCGATACAATAAACTTCATATCGAGACTGACTCCTTTGTCACCGCCTCGCAATTCTCTCAAAAGAGTCAGTTAAAGTTCGTTGATTCAAGTCTAATTCTTTTCCAGATAGAACAAAAATAAACTCTTCATAGTTATGTATCTTATATGTATTCTTTAAACATCTCCCTTTGTATTTCTTTAAAATCACTTTCAAAAGCCTCTAATTCGTCCAAACCAGCTTAAACCGGTTGGTTCGACCAAACCGGAGCTCTTCAAACTAACTCCATTCTCTCTGTTCACTATCGAACAAATATCACACAATGAATATGACCA